GAGGCCTCCGGGCAGGGGCAGCAGCAGCGCGAGGGTCAGCAGACCCTGTCTGGGGCCACGGTAGGGGGGAATAGGCCCAGGGGGGGGGGGACGCACCGACCCCCCATCGCCCACTGATCGCCGACGGGGGCCCGATGGCCCAGCCCGCCAAGGAACGGTGCCGTTTCGGCATCGGGGGCCTCTCGCCGATCTAGCGGCGATGTATCGCCGATTTAGGTCGACGTTCCCCCCCCTGTGCCAGTCGCCCCCCTATCGTTGTCCCTCACAGGATCAGCGATCCTGCGATCCTGTCGTCACAGCTTCTTCGGGCCATGCGTTTTCGCATACTTTCGGGCCCCGGGGCCCTCACATTATCGATCTGTCTCGGAACGTGCCGCAGAAAGATAGGGGTCCAGGGTTCTGGTCCTGGTCGTGATGTTTCACGATGTTGCATTGTTTTCGCGTCGTCAGGCTTCAGGGGAGTGAGCGTGTGTCGTGCGGCGATGGTCACGGCGGCGGCGGTGGATGATGACGGTGGCCATCGCAGAGATGCTTGCGATTTGAACACATTAGCGACGGGAGGTGTTTGTCAGTTTTCGGCCTCCGGGGGCCCTCAGCGGCTCGGGATGAAGTTCCGGCCCGGGGAAGGAGTCGGAACTCCGGGGGCCCCGTATTCGACTGCACGTAAGAGTGACCCTTCGCCGGAGTGACCTTTGGTGCGGGCCCATTGGGGTCCCCCGATCGCCGAACGCGATGCGGTAAAAGTGTCTTGCGCGCTTGTGTTTTATCCCCCCTGGGCCCCAAAAAGGCCGCGCACCAAAGGTCACTCTTACCTCTTACCCAGGGTCACTCTTGCGTGTAGCCGACGTATGGAGAAGTCAGGGCACGGCAGGGGCTCCGAGGTGCGGCAGGTCTTCGCGAGCCTCGCCGCCCGTCCCGCCTGGTCCATCTTCGGAGCGGGCCCAGCCAGGACTTCTTCGCACTCGCGGGCTGTAGCAGTGAATCCAACCGCTCTGCGCACTAGATTGGCCCATACCTGGGGAGGAACATGTAGCGATGCCGCTGCTCGTCCTGGAGAGTCCTCGTCGTCACGTCTGGAGTCCCTTCGAAATCATTCATGCTTCGCGTGCCCCACCAGCCCCTTCAAAGCCATGCCCATGGGAGTTGACGGGACAAGGGACGAAGACACACATGTAGTGAAGCAAAGCGGGCAACCAGGGTGAACAGAGAGATCTTTGGGAGCCTCTTCGAGCCATCCCTGGGGTCCGCGTGGTGGCGAGGGAAGGAGGAGGAGCAGGAGGAGGAGGAGGAGGAGGAGGAGGAGGAGGAGGAGGAGGAGGAGGAGGAGGGGGAAACGAATACGACGATCACGACGACGAGGAAGAGGAGGAAAAGGAAAGGGAAGACGATGAAAGCAAGGACGAGGACGAGGACGAGGACGAGGACGAGGACGAGGAGGAGGAGGAGGAGGAGGAGGAGGAGGAGGAGGAGGAGGAGGACGAGGAGAACGACGAGGACAAGAACAGAACCCTCAAGCTCGCCTCGTGGGGCCCTCTTGTGACTCTTTTGGGGGATCTCGGGGTCCTCTTGGGGGTCTTGCTTGGGTTCCTCTTGGGGCCCTCTTGGAGCCCTTTTAGGGGTCCCTTGGGAGCCCTGTAGGGCCTCTACAGGCCATCCTGGAGGCCATCGGTCAAACGAGGGGGGTCCCCGATTTGCTTCCACCCACGGGGCCATTCAAGTCGCCTCTTGGGGCGCTCTTGGGCCGCTCTTGGGTGCTCTTGAGGCCGTCTGGAGGGTCTCTCGGGCCCCTCTTGGGCATCTTTTGGGCCATCTTGGGGCCATCTTGAGGCTTCGAAAGCGCATCGGAAGCGGAATGGCGAGAAGTCAGAATTCATTGGTTTATAGTGGTTTCTGCAAGATTTGGGCCTCCCGGGGGGGGGTAACGAAAGCGCACGTGTGGAACGGCCCAGTCTTCATCCACTGCTGAGGGGGCTCAGGTGGCACTTGGGGAGGTATGTCGGAAGCTAGTTTGAACCATCGTCGGTTTTCTTGAGCCATCTTGGAGGCCATCTTGGAGCATCGGACGCCCTCTCGGAGCCATCTTGTGCCATCCTGTGCGCCGTGACCGATCGCGGCCCGCCCTGAAAAACCTCAGGGAGGGCAGGGCCCCCCCTCCCCGAAGGAAAGGGAGTTTTTGGAAGAGGAGAACAGGTACACGCCGGTCGTTGAAAGTAGGTATTTTTGGATTCCCAGGTCCCAATCTAGTTCAAGCGCCTTCCTACTTCAAGAATCGACATGCTTTTGCTGTGTCTTGTTATTCTCTGGGAGGACCTGGACCCAATCTACTATATCCGCCTTCCTACTTCATGTTTCTACCTACTTCTTCCGACCGACGTGTACCGTTAGACCACCTTCGCCCGAAGGGCTGGTGAGATTCTGGTCAGAGAGCACCCCGGGAGAGGTCTGCAGAGTGGCGGTATCGGTGCATTATCGTTTGCCCACATACTGTAGCATCGCTGTCACCTGCCCGTGTGTTCTTTGCGATTGTGGCGCTGTTGGGCGGCGGTGGTTCGAAATCTGTGATCTGTGATCTTGGCTTCTTTGGACCCTTTGGGGGGTCCTCTTGGCGCTCTCTTGGGCCGTCTTGGGGACCCCTTGGGCGCTGTTGCGGCCATATTGAGTCGTCCTGGAGCGTTCTTGGGCCGTCTCGGGGCCTCTTGGAACGCCTTGGAGCTCTATTGGGTCCGTATTGGGGCTTTTTTGGCGGCTTCTTGTTCCCGTCGTGGAGGCTTCGTGTGCTATCTTGGGCTCGTTTTGGACTGTGTTGAGGACCTCTGGGGTCCGTCTTGGAGGCCTCTTGGACCGTATTGGGGCAATTTCGGGGGCTGTTGGAATCCCAAACGAGCAAGATCTCTGGAAATTTCGAATACGACGAGGCCCTTTAGGGGGTCCTCTTGGGGCTCTCTTGAGCCGTCTTGGGGGCCCCTGTGGCCGTCTTGATGCCACTCTCGGACGTCTTTTTGCAGCTCTCTGGGCCCGCCTCCAGGCCTCGTGGACCACCTGGGAGCTCCCTTCTCGGGATCCTGGGGCTCTCAGAATGAAGATCCTGAAGCTCGCACCCAGGAGTTCCGGCATCTCTGATCTGGAAGCTGCTAGGGACTTGCTGGGCCTTGGACGGGGTAGTTGTTCTAGGCCTCCTAGATGGGGTCCGAGTAGATGGGTTTGGTGGATCGAGCCGCATCGCCGATGCGTCGGCGAGACGGCTCGATGTGGGGCCCACTTTTCTCCATGCCGGCGTCGCCGATGCGTCGCCGACGTCTCCGATGCATCGCCGATGCATCGCCGATGCGGCGCGATCCTCCGACCCCATCTATTCGTACCCCATGTAGGAGGCCTCTAGTCATCCTCTCTGGAGAATCGAAGTGTTCACGGAAAGACTGGCGACGAAGATCGACAGCGATTCCTGCTCACTTTGCGCAGGACCCGCTGTCGGTCTCGCCGAGGACGTGGTCCATTCGAAACAAGAGCTGCCTGTCCAGCAGGGGCGGGTGCTGGTTTCGGCAACATTCGAGCGCTGACACAGAAAAGCGGGTTCAGCTACGCCGACATTCTCACGTACTAAGCTGCTCGCGCAAGGTCGCGCGTAATCGCCCTCGTCTCCAGTGTGACGTGCCGCGCCGGCGGCCCGCGTGAGCCGCGGCATACAGTCGGGGCGCTGAAGAAGGAACCCTTTTTGTTGGCGAGGGGCCCGGTGTTCCTTGATTGTTCCACAGTTTGCCTTGGGTTTCCCATGGGAAATCGAAGTTTAACTTATGGGAAAAAGGGGCCGCGTTCCTTATTCAGGGCTCCTCAGGTCACCGCCCCGACTGTAAGGTCGCTGTGCCATCTGGCGTCAGATCCGTTTCCTTTCGTCGCCCCCTCGCTGTCGGTACACCTCAGGCGATGCTCAAGAAAACTTACGTTTCCGTCCAGAGTCTCGATTATTCTTGACTTTGCAATGTGAATCCTAAGGTTTCAATCGAAATTCTGGGTTTTTGTTCAAGTTCTGAGACTATGAATTTCTTAACACATGATTTCTTAAGCATTTCGCAGGGTGTACCGCAGATTTTCTTCGTTTGATTGCTCGTCCCGGGTGTGCCGGTCCTCCGAGGGCCCCCGTGCACGGGGCCGCCCCCCCGCGCGCGCGCACCGGCAGTGCGCAGACGCTCGGAGCCTCTTGCCGGAGATGCTGGCGCGCCTCTGGCCCGTGGGGCCGTCGAGCTGCGTATTCCAGGAGGGGGAAAAACACGCACACACACAGACACAATGAATCGTCGATTCCCAGGAAAGTATGGGAAAATATGGAAATGGGGCGGGAAGACAAAAAACCAGAAGATATGGAAGAATATGGGGAATCATTTTGTTTGGGTGTATTTATTTGTGTGTCCTTGGGCCCCTCGAGTATTGTCTCCCGCTGTTGGGCATCCGCACCAAAGGGGGGGGGGGCGGCGCGTTGGACAGTTTTCGGAGCCGCGCGGCGCCAGAAGCAAGTTGGCAGTCGACAGTGCTGGGCCTCCAGAGCTTCGACGGCGGTGGCAGGCCGATGGATCCGAAGCCTCCCGTGCGCCTCCGTACCTCCCTCTATCTGCCCCCTCGTCCGTCTAGAAGCTCTGACTTATCATTCCCTTACGTTCGTTTGAGTGGGAACTGCATACACGTATGCTTTCGGAGGTCCACACGGGGTTTCTTGGATTCGCGTGGGGCCCCCCTGGCGGCGCGATCCGCGCCGGGGAAGGGGGTCCAGCGCCGATCCAAGAAATCCCCCAAACTTTATGTTTTTTCTTTTGTCCGCCCTCTCGGCCGCGGGCCCGCAAAGAAATCCCCCAAACTTTTATGCTTTTTCTTCTGTCCGCCCCCCCGGCCGCGGGCCCACAGCGTTTCGGACGACGCCCGCGCCCTCGCGCCCGGCCCCGGCCGGCCGTCGTGCCGTCCCGCTCGCCGCCCCCCTGCCTCCGAGCCCGCGAGGCGCTGGGCGCAGCACCATGTTCGAGCAGCTCAGGAGGCGCCGCGGTGCGGAGCGTCGGGTGCTCAGAGGAGGTCGGGCGGGTGGTAATGTTGAGTCGGGCCTGGCCCTCTTTAGGGGGAAAGTTCAAAAAGAGTAAGACAACAGCCTGGGGACTATTGCTTTTGACTGTTTTTGGGCATGTTTGGAATATAGTTTGAGTATTTGTTTATTTTTCGTCCAAAGTCCAAAATCCTAGAAATAAGAAACCTATTATTTCTTATGTGGGGAATCTATTTGGAGTATTTTTTTATCTTTCGTCCAAAATTCCCCCTGTAGGGGGACAGGCCCGACTTGATGGTAGCGGGGGATCACCCCCAACTTGGGGGCGGAGAAGACGGCCCCCAGAGGGGGCCATTCCAGGGCCCCTTCTTTGGGAGCCAGCGGGGGCCCCAAAAGGGGGCCCTCCTCCTCCTCCTCCTCCTCCTCCTCCTCCTCCTCCTCCTCCTCCTCCTCCTCCCCCGTCCTCCTCCTCCCCCGTCCTCCTCCTCCTCCTCCTCCTCCCCCTCCCCGGAGGGGGCCCCCAGAGGCAGAAGATGCTCAAAGACTGCCCGCTGTGATCGCAAATGGCACGGCGGGCCCTCCTCTGACGGGCGGCACCGGGGGGGGACCTAAAGGGGGGGGGAGAAGCATGCAATACAATGATACCGGAGAGAAGCCTCAATCAGAGCTATAGGGCTAGGGGGCTATTGAGCTATTGAGCACCCCCGGGCACCCGGGCGCCCGGCCGGCTATTGAGCACCCCCGCTCTTTCTTGTTTTTTACAACGAATGTGCGCGGCGCTAAGGCGAGAGCCACATTTTGAAAACGACCCGCCCTCCATCTGTGAAGCTGTTGTCAATGTTTAAGCTTCAGGGTGAGAAATGGTGAGGAAGTCTCAGGCGAACCGCCCGGACCGCCCTAAAAAAACTGTCCTCGGGGTGCGACAGGGGGATCGTATTTAAAAGGAAAGGGAATGGTGGACGAGGAGGAGGAGGACGAGGAGGAGGAGGAGGAGGAGGAGGAGGAGGACGAGGAGGAGAAGGAGGACGAGGAGGAGGAGGACGAGGAGGAGGAGGAGGACGAGGAGGAGGAGGAACGGGAATGGAGGAGGAGGAGGAGGAGGAGGAGGAGGAGGAGGAGGAGGAGGAGGAGGAGGAGGAGGAGGAAAGGGAATGGAGGACGAGGAGGAGGAGGACGAGGAGGAGGAGGAGCCAACCTTGGACTGGAGGGCCCGTCCTGGGGAGGGCAGACCTCTGGGGGCCCGCGGCGCGAGCAGGAGCGCGACCGTTGAGACCACTGCAGTGTTGGCTTTCGGGGAGCCCTTCGCGCCGCCACGGCTGGCCGCGGCTCCGAGGAGGAGAGCACGAGGAGGAGGACGAGGAGGAGGAGGAGGAGGAGGAGGAGGAGGAGGTGGAGGAGGAGGAGGAGGTGGAGGAGATGGAAGAGGAGGAGGAGGAAGAGGAGGAGGAGGAGACCGTAGACCTTAGCGCCATTCGGAGCGAACGATTCACAAGCATCAGTTAAGCTGTGCACAGTCAGACCTGCAAAACTCTCCAATCACCACTGACAAAACTGACAGATCTGACTGACAGCGCTCCTGCACAGCTTCTGATAGGCGCATGCGCTGCAAGAGTGGAGACTCGGGCAGCAAGGGCTGCTCCTGCTTGGTGAGCAGCATGCCTCAGAGGAGGAGCGCCGCCAGAGGCAGCCGCCCGAAACGCACTACCTCCCTCTACCCTTGCGCCCCCGACCCTTCGAACGAGGCTCGCGACGGTGCTGAACTACAGGCCCTCCGCTGGAATCTTTTGCTACAGACCCTTCCCCCCATCTTCGCTCCCACCGAGGCCCTGGACACTGGGAAGGGGGACTTCTGGAAGACTCGTATTCGACTGGCTAGGATTGGAACAACTCACTGGGCCAAATCACTACCCCTCTCACTGAGCAATCCCCTCCCGTGGAGCTCCCCGAACCTCGTACTTGTGCGGAAAACCAGCGCCTCTGCGGTCTGCGGCGCTGACGATCGAGAAGAATTTGCAGCTCGCGCTCCAAGGCTCCTCTCGGCGCACCGCCTACGAGCTTCCTTCCCCCCTTCTCGAGCAAGAGCTTCTCGAACAGGGTCTTTAACGCGAGAGCCTCGGGCGAGCCCTCGACCAGGAACTGGACTTTGACCATCTCCTCCTTTTCCTCGACCTTCTTTTGCCCGCTTCACCTTCAGGATTTTGGAGTGCTCCGCTGTCTTCGCGTCCCCTCCGTCCTGCGACATCTTCCTCTCCCAGAACTTCCCGAGAATCTGCAGCTTCTGATCTTTCCCCCTGTCCCTCCTGCGCTCGCGTTATGATGTGGTGCAGGGCCACTCCGAACAGCACGAGATGTTGAGGCCCTTGAGGATTGGGCGGGGGGTCTTCTCCTTTGCTTGGCGCTTCTGTCTTCTCTTTGGCCCAGTTCTGCGACTCTGCGTTGTAGCTCTGGCCCGCCTCCAGCAGCTCTTGGATCGCGTCGACGTCGAGCGGCACCAGGAAAGGACTGAGCAACGCGCCTAGCATCAGTCGCAAGTCGGCCGAGCTCGCCAGCTCTAGCTTGCCCACCGCCTCGATGAGGCTGTCGATGTCCTGGCGACGCTTGCCTCCGCGAGGTGGGGGACGGTCGTCTCCGCCAGCTGCGCCTCCCGTCGCCGCCGCCTGGAACCCCGTGGCAGGCTTCTTGAGTGCTGGTTCCACCGGTGCCGCCGCCACCCGCTTGCCCATCCAGGCAGGCATTGCAGTCGTTTCGGGCATGGGCTGACGAACTTGTGTGCTCCACTATCCCAAGCACCGAGCTCTAGAGGGAAATTGCTCCGGACGTGCTGGAACAAGTCAAGCTCACATCCACCATCTGACTCGCAAATCTGGCAGCGAAGCGTGGTAGACCCAGAGGCAGAAAGCGTAAGAGCGGCCTTTCCGACAATACCCATGTCCCAGAGACCCGGACAAGTGTCTAGCCGCGAGAATATTGTTCCCAAAAACCTCGAGGCAGTTTGGGCACCTGTTGGAGCTCACCAAGAGAGACGACAGATTTCTCATACCATGCCCGTGTCGAACATGTTCAAGAAGCCTCCCTGTGAGTAGCGAGCACTTCCCCACATATACTATTCCCACGAGTCATCAAAAATTTGTAAGTACACTCATCAACACGTTGAACCTCAGGACCTGCCCCAGGGACCTCTGGAGACTCGAAGCATTTCGTCTTATTCGAATGAGCTCGATCCTCTGGGGGGGCAATCTTGACCGACAGGAACTCCTTTCTGAGAATACTGGGATCCAGGGGACAAAACACTTTGGCATCCTCCTCATCCTGGAAGAAGACCCCTGCGCAGCCTCGATAAGATCATCTCTTTGGTAGACTCTGCATAGATCCACGCAGTCACTCCAGGCCTGGACAGCCCGCGGATTGGTATAACGAGTGTTCTTGCCCGTGACACGGTCCACAGTGTCGCGCACCTCAATCGACAGACGCCCGAAAACAATGGTAACTTCCTGTACATGGTTCCGCGGACTCCTGATCCACGATTGCAGCCACTTGGTATGGACGACCTGACACTCGAGGCGCGTGGGGACAAACTTCCAACATCTCAGAACGTCGTCGTTCGACATCGTCGTAATGTGGATGCTACTATCGTCGGAAGCTCTCCCTCGCATCAGCACTCGAGCGTAGCGCACCAAGGCCGAATCCAGCCGGCGAAAGTCAAAATCAGAGACGATGAACGCCTCGAGGTTAGAGCGCGCCGTGTTGACACATCTAGCTAGAAACATGCACCGACGCCAGCGCCAGGGGACCCCCATGCAATTTCCAAAAACGCCCAGCTGGATTAAACGCCCGCTGAATAGCTTCAAGACGCTTGGTAATTTCGGCCGTCGACGAACCTCTAAAGTGAATCTGCCCTCCAAGACTTCTTTGTACCTCGTGGATGGTCCCCTCAATCGGAAGCCCACGCTTTTTCAACGCTTTGCGACCGATCCCAGAAACCACGCCCACTAAATATACTTTAAGTTGCTGTGCTAGGAAGCGTTTTGCTTATAACCACGAGACTATAGACATTGATCTAGTAAATTGCTTGATTGCATAGTTGTATGACATAGTTGAAAAACCCAGCTCCAAAACTTCTGACCGCCTTATATGTCCCCTTGCAAGGAATGCACAGCACGTCGTTTCCAACCTAATGAGTTTCGATGGACAGCTTCTCAGTGTCGTCGGCATACTGAGTTAAAGATACACCAGCGCGAACATCAGGCAAGAAAGGGTGCTTGGTGACCAGGGCCTCTGCCATCGGGTCAAAGTCCAAATTCAGCTTCTGCCGCTCAGCAATGGCAGGACGAACAGCTCTGCAGAAGCCGTGCACCGCATACGGATCTCCCATCAGCGCCCCCACTCTTGTCTTGACTGCCACATTCCCCCCCTCAACCGGTAATCGTACAGTTGCCTCCTGACAGCGTTGCATACACAAAACTCTCTCACCAGTATTCAACAGCTCAGCATTAGCATCTTCTAGAGAGGCCCAGGAAGACCAGGCGAAGGCGTTGGCCATGTCCTTACCCTGAAGCAGACAAGACAGCCCACAAGCGCGAACTCTGTACATGCTGCACTGCTGCACGGGCATCGCCCCCTCCTTCCTCCTTCCTTTGCAGAACCCGTGTTCGTAATCACCCAGCCGAGTAGAGACGCCGCGCTTGATAGCAGACGCGAAAAAGCCCTTGCCGAGCACGTCTAGAAGGTGTACAACTCTCTTGCTGGTGGCTCCTTCATTTTTTTTGTGACGAGCATTGGCTTCGATGCCACTCCAGAGTGGCCCGTCCAGAGGCGCAGATTTGTCCAACACCATTCTGGAGGAGCGCCTGGAAAGCCTGCGGAACGAAGCCCGAGTTCTCAGCTTGCCATTCAAGGCCGGCTTGACGGAAACAAAGTCTACCACGAGGTCGTCGACAGAGCATCAGCCAGACCTCAAGCGGAGCCGACTCCGATGGACAAGCTCTTCTCTTAGGGGTCTCTTCATGTAGTCCACCACCCCCTTGCTCATCTCCTCCGCCTCCTCCAAGTAGTCCGCCCAGTTCTCCTCATGCGCGAAACAGTCTCTCATCCTCTTCCTTCTGTGCTCCTCCCACTCGACCTTGAGGACCTCCATTCCCCACTCGCCACCAGGGCGACTTCATGCCTCCATCCACTCCTCCTCAGTCAGACTACTTCTCGTCAGATGGTTGTAGTTACGCTTGCATGGCACCCAGGAAGTGCCCGCCGCTAGTCGAGACCAGGCACTGACTTCTACAAACTTGTGTTGGCGCCAAACATCTTGCAGAACTTCCAAGTAGGGTCTACGTCTAGCTTCAACTTGAGCGCGTCTAGTCATGTGTGCGAGATGGGTTACTTCGCGTAGAAGCATTGCGATGCCCTCCTCCTCCGCCTCCGCCTTTGCTAAGCCAAGTCTAATCACCTTGCGCCGTGCTAGTAACTCTTCTCGTTGCTTCCTCATCTCAAGTAAGTCATGGGAATGTTGCTGTTCTGCACCGTAAATTGCAAGCCCTCGACGAACAATTCTGCTCGTAATGACCGAGAAACAACTATCAGGAGTACGTTCTTGCAGCAGCCCTGTCAACTCCACCTCCTTCTCCTCGCACTCATCGTTGCTCGTCTTCAGTAGCTCCTTCCGCCTCTCGCCTTTCATCAGACCCCCCACCAATATATTAGGATCCTATGAATGAGAAGACTTCTGTTTGGGCCAGTTAGAAAACTCAAGCTTCCACGCAGCATGGACAGGCAGATGGTCTCGAATGGCTCAAGTTCGAATTGATTGGACCTGTCGCCCCAGCCGGTGAAGAATTCCAGCTCTATACACTTTTGGAAGCCTTCGATGATGGAGCGAACATCATGTCTAACTTCTTGCGCTCACCTTTTGGACCATACCATCTATTAGTGAGAGGACTACCATCATCAGCAAAAGAGAAATCGAATTCTTCAAGCAAGAGACGCAAAGCGTGCCCAGCCCCTTCCGGCCAAATTTCACGAGTCGAACATTTGCACGACTCACCGATGAACCTGAATATTCATAAGATTTTGAAGCCTCCTCCATACCCATACCATCGTTTAAATCCACAGCAAGAATAGGAATAGACCTGCCGCGAGTTTTGGAAAAATAACTGACCTCAACCAGCTGATTAACTTCTGCACTGTGGAGAAATAGTTGGCACGAGCTCGACGGTCACTTGGTCTGGGAGGGAAAATAGGCACCGGCCACCGTCGCATCATTTCTGTTTGCCTTCAGCCGAAGCCCACACCACGTCCCTGTAGATGCCGAGGAGGTAGCAGCGGAGGTCCCCGAATAGATTTGTTAGAGAAGATTTTATGGAGCAGGAAAGCCATTCCAGCAGCCTCGGTGACTTACGGGGAGGGAAGCCAGCCTGACTGCACCAGCGTACTCTTGCCGATCTTTCGCCTCGTCACCTCGCCATCGGGGGCCGAACGCTGCTGGGTGCCGACGATCACTGCGATGTCGAACGAACGAACGAACGAAATGAGCACTCCAAATCCTCCAGTCTATCCGTAGGAGATGCACTCAGGGGGTTGTTAGCCAGGACGCGCAACCAACGGAAGCTGGCAGCAGTCTCCACTGTTCTCAGCTCCGACAGCTAAACAAGGCTCTCAACCATAAAGCTTGTGACAGGTGCACGTTCGTCATGCTACCCTGCCTGCCCCTTGGCCCATCGCGGCAGCTGAGGAGGAGGAGGAGGAGGAGGAGGAGGAGGAGGAGGAGGAGGAGGAGGAGGAGGAGGAGGAGGACCTCCACATCCTCCCGTCTTCCCCGTCCTACCTGTGGCAGTGGCGGGGCCCATTGTGCGAGCACTGGGGCGCGCGTGCCCCGGGAGGGCTCTGGGGGCCGATGGTGGGCTGCCGTTGGCTCAGCTTGCCCCGCCCCCTGAGAGTTGCCGGCTTCGTCTGGCCAGGCAGCGGGCTCGAGAATCTCAGTATCGCTCGGGCGAATATATCAATACCGTTGAGTTTCTCATGTGATTTATCTCCCCTGGCGCGCCCCCCCTGGCGCGTCCATCCCGTTGCCCACAAGGAGATTCCGGGGGGGGTGCCCGTCGCGACCCCCCCAGGGCCGCGGCCCAGACCGTCCTCCCGTGGCGCGGGATGGCCGCTTGCTGAGCTGGGCTTGGGCTCGCGGCAGCTCAGCCGCAGGGCGCGCCGCCGTCGTGCCAGGCCGCCCTCCTGATGTTCGGTGGTTGGGCTGCGCCAGGCGTGGGTGGCGCAGGTGCCAGCGGCGCGCTGGCGGGGCCCGCGGGCGGCCTTCTGGGCGTCGGCGCGGGTGGGGCCGCTGGCGGCTTCGCAGCCCTGCCCCCTGGCGCAGGCGGGATGCAGGGCCGCGGCGGCCGCGGGCGCTGGAGGCGCCGCGGGCGCGGCTGGATCTGGCGGCGCGCGGGCTGCAAGCCGGCGATGGGTGGCATCGGCAAGCCCGCTCGTGCGCGCGGCGCCGCCAAGAGAGGGAGGGCCTGCTGGCGCTGCGGCCGGGAGAGGAGCCGGCCGTGGCAAGGCACGAGGTGCTCCTGGGGCCGCGGCTGGCCCTGTGGCTGCCGCAGGAGGGGCGGCGGGCGTGGCCCCTGGGCTGCCTGGAGTCGGCGCGCTCGGAGGTCCTCCTGGTGCCGCTGGCGGTGGAGCAGCACTTCCTGCTGGCGCGCCGCCGCCAGCCCCCATCGCGGGCGGTCCCGCAGGCGGCTGGGGCGCGCCGCCGTGGGGCGCCGCGGGCGGAGCTGGGCAGCTGGGCTTGGCCGGAGGCTTCCCCTGCGGGGCGGCGGCTGGAGGCCTGCTTGGGATGCCCGCGGGCCTGCCTCCATGCGGCGGGGCATTCGGCATGCCCGCGGTGGCGGCGCCAGCGGGCTGTGGAGGAGGTCCTGGGCCTTGGAACTACCTCCCGCTGGCCCCGTGCGCGCTGCAGCAGCTTCAGCTCCATCCTGGAGCGATGCTGGAGGTCGCCGCGTGCGATTCGTGGGGCCTGCCTAGCGGAACCGCGGAGTTCTGCGTGTCAGGAGCCTGGCCCGCTGACGCTGCAGGCCATTTCGTGGAGGCGACGGTGGAGGCTTGCAGCCAGGCGCAGTTCTTGCCCGTGCTGCAGGGGCTCTTCGCCATGGGCGCGTCGTTCCTGCACTTGTGTGCGCGGGCGGTGAGGACTTGCCACCTTGCTGCCAAGTGGCCCAACAGGAACGTGGTGCCCTCGGACACGGTGAGAGTTAAGGTTGCCACTGGTGCGGGGTTGGGCGCCCCGGCCGCCGCTGCCCTGGCCGACGGCGCGGCCGCTGGAGGCGGTGCCAGGGGACTTCCTGCAGGTGAGGGCGGCGCCGCTGCAGGCGCGGGCCCCGCAGGAGGTGGCGCTGGCGGTCCAGCGGCTGCCGATGGCGCTGACGGCGGAGGCGGCGGCGCGCGCGCTGAGGAGCAGCTCAGGGGGGCGATCCAGGAGCTGCGAGAGCGGATCAGGCGCAAGTGCTCGACGGCGGAGTCGCTCGCCGAGAGAGCTCACGCTGCGCTGGAGGGCCAACGCAGGCGCCGCCGCGGGGGCAGAAACCCCGGCCGCGACGCCTCCGACGTGTCACTTTTTGACGAGGCCCCGCCCGCTGGTTCCAGCCGCCGAGTACAACGCCTAGCCCGCTCTGATCCAGGAGCGCTGATGGCGGCGGTCTGAAGCAGATTCGCAGCTTGACTTTCAACTGTGTGAACGGATTGAGGCGTTGTGGGCCGCGGGTGGGCCAGCTGGCGATGCGGGTTCTACAATTTCGGGTGTGCCGTTCTCCTGCGGCGCAAACGTATGCTGCATAGTTCTTGGGATCTTCTAAAAGCATGGCAGAGGACGGAGACTTCCCAGCGTGGTTCTACGCCGATGCCAGAATCTGTGCTGGTGGCGTGGTGGCGTTGGCAAGTGTGGCGCGCTCGTTGTCTCGCACTGCTATTGGTTGTGGGCTACTCGGAGTTGCTGAGCCTGCGCCGGTGGCAGTTTCAGTTCACCAATGATGGGCTCGGCACGGCGATTGTGCTGCCAGTGACGAAGTCGGGAGTTCGTCGTCACTGTGAGGAGTCGGTGGCGCTCCACGACCCGCGCATGGTCAAATTCGTGAGGCACTTCCTCGACGGGTTGCCGCAGGACGATCTGATCTTGAGATCCTCGGTGGAGGACGTCAGGCGGATCTCCAGGGAGCGTATCTCCAGCCTCGGGCTCGAGCGCCACCAGTGCGTGCCGTGCTCGCTGCGGCGCGGTGGCACGACGATGCACTACCGGCGCTACAATAAGATGGGCCACGCGCTCATCATGGGCAGGTGGCAGGACACCGCGGCGGCGCGGCTCTACATATCGGACGGGCTGCAAAGCCTGCTGCAGAACGCGTTCGGCCCGTTGGAGCTGGATCGCTTCCGCCGCCTGGCGGCGGCCCTTGATCATGATGTGCGTTGGAGAGAGAGAGAGAGAGAGAGAGAGAGAGAGAGAGAGAGAGAGAGCACAGAAGGTAGCACTGCCATTCTTTCACAGGTTCGCTGTCAGCATTTTCCCGACCCCCCCTCCCCAGGGTTGAAGACGGTAAACCAGAGCGGGGTGCATGGAAGGGGGGAGGCTCCCTCGGGGTGGGCTCGGACCCGTGATCGCGCTGCCGCCCCTTCCAAAGGATTCGGACTCGCGTTCGCGCTGCCGCCGTCTCCTCAGGGGTTCGGTCTCGTGTTCGCGCTGCCGCTCCTGGGGTCCACTCCGGGGGTTCGGACTCGCGTTCGCGCTGCCGCCCCTTCAAGGCGGTGGGCCCCCTCGGGGTCGGGGGGTCCTGCGCTGGCAGCCCCCCCTTGCCCGCAAGACTCTGGTAAGGGATGAGACGTGAAAAGAGAGGGGACGAGGAGACAGGTTGGAGATACATATATACACATATGTGTACAGTTGTATCTATATACGTCGCAGGTTTATGTACGAGGATGTTAAATTGTTTATATATATATATGTATAGACCTTGTGTTTGTTTGATAGTAGTCACATACGCGTGATAATGAAAACGTCCAAGGGCTACTTCAACACAGTGCCAACGATTACCGCGAAGCTCGAGCCCATCTTGAAATCGTTGACAACGGTGACAAGGGCGACGACCTACCATTAGCACCGCAATCAGCCAGGTGATCAGCACGGTCATTTAGTACGGCACCGTTGTGAGCAACCACCTTGGTCCACGTAGTATGATGATCGATGCTGTCAAGGATCTGCCGCGTCCTTAAGGCAAAAGTCAAGTTGCGACGAGCACGGGCTTGTCTGCGAACAACGTCTGCAGCATATTGAGAATCAAACTCAACCACACATAATGAAAGATGTACGGATTGAAGACGATGACGAATATCGATAGCGGATAGGCCGGTACGCCCGTCCAGACCGTTACGGGGGCCACTGGAATTACCGGGCGCCGCCCCGCGATGTTGTAGGATAAGTTGTAAACAACTGTCTGTGTTTGGAGACAAGTCGCTGATGAAGTTGAGGGCAAAGTACAAAGACGTAATCTCCCCCACATTGTTGGAATGCCGTGTAGCACCAACGAAAGCCTCATCATCACGAGCACGGATTGTAGGACCACAGAAATCCAGCAGCTGGTCGTAAAAGGGGAGGGCGACCGTGAAGCCCCACCCAAACTTAGACTCGTCCCCGTTGAGAGTTGCAGTGGCGTCGCACGAGACCACCACGTTAACCGGGTGCTGGAAGACCGTGCCGGGGAGTTGCGGTGGCAGGCTGGCCCCTCGCCGAAGGCCGTCGTCCATATCGTGCGCAACTGGTGCGATGACACGCTTGATGCGCCGTAGCGGAGGTAAGGCGTTCGCGTAGATGAAGTCGACAGGTTGAGAAACCGGCTGGTCCAAATCCAAGCGAACATGTCGATGGTGGCGCGCGTCCGCGCACGCCTGAGTAGCGATAGTGTTGACCCATAACAGATATTATGAAACACGTACAGCATGGTGAAGAGAAGGACCAGCAGGTAATCGAGAAGGGATAAGACTGCAACGTGCGAGACAAGGAGGGAGACCATCCGGAAACTGGTTGCCAAAAGCTTGTTGGTCAAGCAAGGCGCGGGCCTCGTGATTACACGGACAGTGCCACAAACGGTGTTCAGTTGTCTCCACTGCTGTGCCGCAACGTACGCAAAACTCGTCGCCCTCGTGGTAGGCGATGCGTGAGACGTGTAGCCGGGTCCACAAGCCAGCGGAGGTGAGGGCAGGACCTCCGAAGTGTAGTTGAGCAGCATAATGATGCTCCCGTGCGTCTCGGTTCTCGGTCAGGCCGTTGGGCAAACCGCCAAAGTCTTTGGGCCTCCGCCTCGCTTCGCTTCCACCGAGGGCAAACCGAAGAAAATCTCGTAGTTTATGAAACTGTGATTGCACTTGAACCCGCTTGCAAAGACCTGGAAAAGCATCCCGGCCGGCATCTGCAAGAAGGTCTGGACGGATGGTGAAGGCGAGCCTGCGATTCCCAGCCTTGAAAGCGGTAGCTGTGTGCCAATCAATCTGGAGGGTCGAGCACGCCCGCGAAAGAAGCGTAAGGGGCCCAAAACGTATCCGACTGCGGTGAGCCCATAAAATCTGCCAGTCGGCTGGCTCAAGAATCCCAGCCAAGATCACACGATAGAACAGCCGAGCAACGCTGTAAATAGCCACGCGCACCCCAATATTCACATACGCGTATCTATCCATGTTATATATATAGTCATATGTATACATATATATATACGCATACAAACGCACCCCCCAATGTTCGGATTGATCGCCCTCATAAACACCCCCACGCAACGGTCCGCCGGGGAGCGGTGGGGAACAGCCTCATCATCAGTCTCTTCCTGCTCCTCCTCTACTCCTGTGCTTTCTTCCTGCTTCACTTCCTCCTCCAGCCCCATGTCCTTGGTAATCTCCCCTTTCTTCCTGTTTCTTCTTCTCTTCTTGTTTCTCGTTCTCCTCCTCCTCCTCCTCCTCCTTTCTCTTTCTTGTTAATCAACCGCTGGCGGATGGTTTCTGTGTGTTCTGCCACGAAAGGAATCCTTTAGTAATCCACCACAAAAGGAATCCCCCAGTATTTGGCCACGGAAGGAGTCTTGGGGTAATTTGCCACAAAAGGACATCTTTTGGTACTCCTCCATAAAAGGGGGACCTTTCAAATTCTGCCACACACGATTTCCTTTATATTCCGTCACGAAGTGAATCCCCATATAGTCTACCATAGAAGTGTTGTCGCTGTATTTCGCCATCGCGCGGCCACAAAAGGAATCTTTTGGTGTTCCACCACAGCGGGGGACCGTCATGTATTCGGCCAAATATGGATTCCCAAGTTATTCCGCCACATAAGGGATCCTGCAACAAAACATCCTTGGCAACGAAAGGGAATTCCTTTTGCATTCCGCCACATAAGAATCCATTGGTAACCGGCCACACAAGGATTCCGTTCGCAGTCTGTCGCACAAGAAATCTTTCAGTAACCCACCACAGAGGGATTTTTTTAGTATCCCGCCACAAAACGAATCCTTCAGTATTCTGCCGAACCGGAAATCTTTTTGTATTCCACGACATCGATGACCCTGTTGTTTTTCCCAACCATCCTGTGGTGTTGGGTCCTCGTTTTGAAGAGACGGTGCCCCGCGTTCCCGCCGCTCCCGCTCCTCCTCCCCCTCATCCCTGCGTTTCACCCACCCAGCACAGCGTTTCGTAGCCCCATAGGGGGCTCCACCGAAGGTCCCACTGGCAGGGTTCGTATGGCGGCCTCGGGCCATTTCGGCACACCCCTCACAAGGATCGTGGCCCCATAGGGAGCTCCACCGAAGGCTCCAGTGGCAGGGTTCGCATGGCGGCCTCGGGCCATTTCGGCACACCCCTCACGAGGATCGTGGCCCCAAAAGGGAACTCCACCGAAGGCGCCAGTGGCATGGTTCGCATGGCGGCCTCGGGCCATTTCGGCACACCCTCACGAGGATCGTGGCCCCAAAAGGGAACTCCACCGAAGGCGCCAGTGGCAGGGTTCGCGTGGCGGCCTCGGGCCATTTCGGCACACCCCTCACGAGGATCGTGGTCACATAGGGAGCTCCACCGAAGGCGCCAGTGGCAGGGTTCGCATGGTGGCCTCGGGCCATTTCGGGACACCCCTCACGAGGATCGTGGCCCCAAAAGGGAACTCCACCGAAGGCGCCAGTGGCAGGGTTCGCATGGCGGCCTCGGGTCATTTCGGCACACCCCTCACGAGGATCGTGGCCCCATAGGGAGCTCCACCGAAGGCCCCCAACGGCAGGGTTCGCATGGCGGCCTCGGGCCATTTCGGCACACCCCTCTCGAGGATCGTGGCCCCATAGGGAGCTCCACCGAAGGCCCCGAATGGCAGGGTTCGCATGGCGGCCTCGGGCCATTGCGGCACACCCCTCTCGAGGATCGTGGCTCCGTAGGGAGCTCCACCGAAGGCCCCCAGTGGTAGGGTTCGCATGGCGGCTTCGGGCCATTTCGGCACACCCCTCACGAGGATCGTGGCCCCATAGGGAGCTCCACCGAAGGCTCCAGTGGCAGGGTTCGCATGGCGGCCTCGGGCCATTTCGGCACACCCCTCACGAGGATCGTGGCCCCAGCTCCACCGAAGGCCCAGTCAGGGTTCGCATGGAGGTCGGTCACGAGGATCGTGGCCCATAGGGAGCTCCACCGAAGGCGCCAGTGGCAGGGTTCGCATGGCGGCCTCGGGCCATTTCGGCACACCCCTCACGAGGATCGTGGCCCCATAGGGAGCTCCACCGAAGGCTCCAGTGGCAGGGTTCGCATGGCGGCCTCGGGCCATTTCGGCACACCCCTCACGAGGATCGTGGCCCCATGGGGAGCTCCACCGAAGGCTCCAGTGGCAGGATTCGCATGGCGGCCTCGGGCCATTTCGGCACACCCCTCACGAGGATCGTGGCCCCACTGGAGCTCCACCGAAGGCGCCAGTGGCAGGGTTCTCATGGCGGCCCCGGGCCATTGCGGCGCATCCCTCACGAGGATCGTGGCCCCATAGTTGTGCTGCTTCAACAACCGCGCCTGGGCGTCGTAGTCCGCCTTGTCGACGTGCAACGCCACCTCCTCCCTCATGGCTCTCAAGGCCCTCTCCTGCTTCTGCTCCTCGGTGAGAGGGACGCCGTCCTTGTCGTTGTCGGCGCCCGCGAAGACGGCCACGAGAACGTGTCCCTGAGCATGTCGGGCTCCGGCGGGAAGCCGTGGCCACATAGGGAGCGCGGGCGAAGATGGTATTCACAAGTGCGGCATTCACAACTGCATACGGTTGGGTCCTTCGCCAGGATATTTTTTTGCCGCAAAGGGACCTTTTTGCATTCCGAAGTCGGTATTCCTCCGCCGAAGAATTTGGCGCATCAAGGAGGATTTGTTTTGTGGTGGGGGACAAACTGGATTCATCCGAGTGGAATCTGGCACTGTATGTTTTTGAGTCGAATACACATAGATACCTTGCATGGCGGGTTACAACAAACATCATTCGTTGCATCATTGGAGAAATGCTCAACTCGCCCCGGCCCGCATCGTGCCTGGCGCCCCTCCCGCACCAAACACGGTGCAGGCCTGGGCGTTGTCGTTTTTGTTGTGTGTTTTTCGCGTGTATGTAAGTGCGCATGTATGTCTGTCTGTCTGTATGTCTGTATGTATGTATGTAGGTGTATGTATGTATGTATGTATGTATGTATGTATGTATGTATGTATGTATGTATGTACATTGGTATGCATGTGTGTATGTATGCAGATATCCACGTCTGTGTTGTATGTATGTTTGCCTGTCTGTATGTAATCTGTATGTTAATTCGTATGTATGTATGCATGCATGTATGTACGTATTGTATATATACATACGCAGGTCAGTGGAACTAGCGACACATACATATTCATGTATGTGTATCTATATATATATATACATGAGTCTATCTTTCTGCCATCCGCGAACGCCGCCACTGGGGCCTTGTGGGGCCACGAAACGGTGTACCGGGTTTGGAAAACGCATGCGAACATCGCCGCCGAGGCCCTCGGTGGAACGCCCTATGGGGCCACGTAGCTGTGTTTGGTGGGGGGAACGCGTGCGAACACCGCCGCTGGGGGATTTCGGCGGCGCTCCTGAGAGGGCCACGAAGCGCTGTACTGGCTGGGGCAAGCGTATGCGGACACCGCCACTGGGGTCTTCGGTGAAGCGCCTAATGGGGCCACGAATGGCTGTACAGGGAGGGGGAAACGCATGCGGACGACGCCACTGGGGCCATCGGAGCAGCTCCCAGTGGGGCCACGAAGCGCGGTACTGGGTGGGGGAAACGCATGGGAACTCCGCTACTGGGGCTTTCGGTGGAGCTCCTCATTAACCACGCAACGTGTGAGGGGTGTGCCGAAATGAGTGGCGCCGACGCATGAGGACACCGCCACTGAGGAACCCCCCATGAGGCCACGAAGCGTGTGAGGGGTACGCCGAAATGAGTGGCGCGGACGCATGTGGACACCGCCACTGGGGCATTCGGTGGAGCTCCCTATGGGGCCACGAAGCGTGTGAGGGGTGTGTCGACATGGGTGACGCCGCCGCATGTGGATGCCGCCAGTGGGGTCTTCGGTGGAGCTCCCTATGGGGACACAGAACGTGTGAGGGGTGTGCCGACATGGGTGCCGCGGACGCATGTGGATGCCGCCAGTGGGGCCTTCGGTGGAGCTCCCTGTGGGGACATGGAACTTGTGAGGGGTGTGCCGGTCCTGCTGTGGATTTCGTCCGCACGACTTCTTGCCCGCTTGCCCGACAGGTGGGCCAACAACGCGTCCAGCGACGAGCAGAGGCTGCGCGACATCTCGCTGGAGTACCGCGAGGCGGGCGCGCGGCGCGGCCGCACCTCCAGGGTTCGGTTGGGCCTCCTGCGGGCGGATTTTGGAAGAGAAATCAAACATGGATATATGATACCAGTGAAAAGCCCCAATCATAATCTTTTTAGGGCTGTAGGGCGATAGGGCTGTGGGGCTGTAGGGCTAGTGGCCTATAGGGATATAGGGCTATATGGGCTATCTGGGCTACTGGGCTAGTGGGCTATAGGGCTATAGGGCTATAGGGCACCCCCGGGCACCCGGGCACCCCCGGGCACGCCCGGGTACCCGGGCACCCGGGCACCCCCGGGCACCCGGGCACCCGGGCACCCGGGCGTGCGGCGAAAATCGGCGGCAAACCGAACCTAGCCATATGAATCCGGTAGGACCCCTACAGAGGCAAGCTCTGATTGTGGAATATATATATATATATATATATATATATATATATATATATATATATAATATATATATGTGATGAGACTATCAGAAAATCGTTCCCTGCTATTTCTTACAATAATTTTGGATTACTCCTCCTGTGCAGGGACATGCCCGACTTACCTCCCGGGGTGGTCGGGTGGGGGGCGGGCGCGCCCTCTCGGCCGGGGGGCCCAGGCCGAAGGAACTACCACGGCTCGATGGGGGGAGGCAAGGGGCTCGTCGACCCGACCCAGCCCCCAGACTGCTTCGCGCTGCGCGCAGTCGTCGCGACGGGAGGTCTTTCTCGCTGCTTTCGGCCTCCGGGGGCCCAGAGGGCCCAGGCCGAAGAACTACCACGGCTCGCGGGGGGGAGGCAAGGGGCTCGTCGACCCGACCCAGCCCCCAGACTTATGATTCTCCAACCTACTTTAGCCTGGACCACCAGGAAGAATTTCGAGCGCCCCAAAAAGTACCGAAACTCAAGGTTTTTCACGTGTCGGGTCCTGGGAGACACTCGCCCGACACTGTTCCGCCACTGCTTCGGCACTCTTTTGACACTTCCAGATGCTCGGAATTATTTTTGGGATGTGGTCTTTAAGTAGGATGGGAACAACATAACCCCAGACTAACCCCATGCCGAGGATAATAAAGTACCCCCCCTTAAGTCGTTAGAGTTTTTAATCGTCGGCCTAGAAGGGTTTCAAATATAGGCGGAGGGCGCGGAGGCCGAACTTCATTATCACTGGGAAAGTTCGCCATCGAGGTTACTTCCTTCTTATGTTGAGATAACAACATCAAGCGAAGCGAACACGTCTTTTCATGCTGTCTCAAGCGAAACCAATAATTTTGGGAGGCAGCCTAAAACCAAACTGGCGCCCTGAACTTGTTTATCGCTGGGGTTGATTATCCTGGGAAAACTAAGCACATGAGCTACCCTACACGAGCAGATGAAAATTTTAATTGTTCACGCTTTGCGAATCCCCACCAGCCCATCCTAAAACAGCCACTTTAGCAAAGAGTACCGACTGTCGGGATTTGTTGGTCATCTTTTCAGCAATGATGCCCAGAGGAGTTGCTTTGATTCGATCAGGGAAGTGTGGGAGCATACAGAGAAACGAAGGACAGGGGATGCCGCCATATCCCAAGAGGGGAGGATGGAGGAGGAATCGGAGGAGGAGGTGGGGGAGGGGAGGAGGGAGGAGGAAGAGGGGGAGGCGGACGAGGAGGGGAGGACGAGCAGAAGGGCCAGAGGCCTCTTGGATGCATCGCGGAGTCTCTTGGGATGTCTTTTGGGAGCCTCTTGGAGGCCTTTTGGGGCGTCTTGGGGGCCTCTGGGCGGCCCCAGGGGCTTCTAGGAGCGTCTTGGGTGCCTTGGGGGAGCCTCTTCGGGCCCCTGGAGGGCGGACAAAAATAAGAAAGGGGAGAGGAAACCAAACAACTCACGATTTTTTCTCCACAGCGCGAGGGGGTCTGGGTCTGGCGGCCCGCGGCGCGAGGGCTGGCCGGTCGCGGGGAGCAGGGGGCCCACGATGGAGCGCCTCACGTAGGCGACCCGAAGTGGAGGAGGAGGAGGAAGGGAGGAGGAGAAGGAGGAGGAGGAGGACGAGACAAAGGAGGAGGAGATGGAGGAGATGGGGGCGGAGGAGGAGGAGGAGGAGGAGGAGGAGGAGGAGGAGGAGGAGGAGGTGGAAGAGATGGAAGAGGACGAAGAGAGGAGGAGGAGGAGGAGGAGGAGGAGGAGGAGGAGGAGGAGGAGGAGGAGGAGGAGGAGATGGAAGAGGAGGAGGAGGAGGAGGAGAACGAGCGATTTGGTTGTACGACAGCCCTGACTTCTCACTAGGGCCAGCAGGGGGGCATACCCCGAAGCTTCAAGGGGCGAGCTCCGAAGTGGCCCCGAAAAAAAACGGCTGTTACCTTGTGAGTACGAGTCTCTGCGGGCCAGTGCGGGGGGAGCAGCTGTTGGCCCTTTCCGCGTGCGCTGGGAATGGGGACGCGCTGGGCGAGCAGGCTCCCAAGCTAGGGTGGAAGAGAAAACGACACGACCACTCAAAAGGAGAAGGGGAGGAGAATCAGGAGGCCTCTGCTTTCCAACATTCTGCTGGGGGGGGGGGCGAATTATCCTGTTCCCCTCTCTTCTCTCTCTCTCTCTCTCTCCTCGGATTCTGCTTTCCAACATTATCCTGTTCTCTCTCTCCTCTCTCTCTCTCTCTCGGCTCACTTTCCTTCCAGAACGAACTGGACGATAGTTGTCCCATGCATTGTCGTAACAGTGCCCTGATACCCTGCTGAAGTATCCTACTGCTCCCCCCTCGATGTGTAGGCAGGGAAGAGCATACTGGTAGTCACGGTATGTTGGAGGTGGGGCCCTCGTGGATGCGCTCTGGAGGAGGAGGGAGGAGGAGGGCCCATGATGGAGCGCATCACCGTGGCACGGGGGAGGCCAGGGCGGGGAGGCAACCGCACCCTGAGGTCCGACGACCGCGAGAGAGTCGCTGACTGCCTCCCAGACCAGCCCAACCCAACCCGAAGACCCACACCTCGGGCCGGGCGGGGTACGGCTTCCACAATGTGTTCTTGTCGACGATCCCCGACGACCCCCCAAATGGGGGCAAATGGGAGCCTTCGGGTTGGGCTTGGGGTGGCTTGGTGGGTGGCGAACCGCCGAACCTTCGACTGAGGCGAAGCCGGGACGGGGACAACATCGTAACCGGACGAGCTGGGAATCTCTGCGATGCGGCGGTTTTGACTGAACGGGGGGTATGTAGGGGGCAAACAAACCTACCTCGCTTTTGACCACCCTCGCTTCCAAGAGATACCAAGCGATGTCAAACAACGGCCTGTACTGGTCAGGCCGCTTGACGAGGAGGCGCGTGGTATGACTTGGTTTTGCCTGGAAGCGAAAGCGGGGTAGGTAATTCACGCTCTGAGTATGGCAATCCCTATCCCCGGCTTTGCGGGGCTTTCGGATGGACCAAAGATTCAGGGCCAGACTCGGGGATGTACAGTCGACCCGTATGATAAGGATGCGCGGTAAGGATGCAAGGGCCCTGGAGTGCCACGTGGACGTTTCTCGAACGAGGTTGGCCAGCTAAAGCGGCCAAGGATTGACCGAGGAGGCAAGGATGAAAAGGCACCCTTGGGAAGGTTGCCCATCCTTACTATGCGGGTTGACTGTACGACGGGGGGCGGCCATCCGTGAGAAGGTGCGTCCTAATAGCCCCCTGGGGGTGTCTCCCAAAGTCCCCCTCTGTTCTGAGCGGCCTGACTTCTTGAGGGCAAGGCGGGGATTGGAGGCGAGAAACCGCCTGCAACTGTAGGCTGTGCATCGAGCGCAGCAGCCCCGTCCAGAGCGTCATGGAATGCTCTGAGAGCGTTCCGGAACGCTCTGGAATCATGTATCCGGTCCCTGGCCCCGCTCGAGATCACGGCGGGGAGGCGATCACCTCGAGGTCCGACGCCGCGACCAAAAGTTGCAGCGTCGCGAAAGATAGCGACCAGAGCTCTCGACCCGCAGCTCTCCGCATCACTCTCGGGCTGGGTCGGCCCGCGAGGGGCCCCGGGAGGCCCGAAGCTGGGCGGAGAGGCAAGGCGCGACAAAGCATTGACGGCCTGAGTTTCGGGACTAGACGGAGCGACACGCCCCGACGATGGGAACGGAAAGACCTGAAGTCCAGCAGCTCCGTCTTTCGCCCCTGCCCCCCGCAGTGGCCCGCCAAGGACAGCGCTCCGCGCTCCGTGGCGCTCCAGCGCTCCAGCGCTCTGTTACGGGACTGGTTTGTGCTGGTGGTGTTGTGTTTGTTCCTTGCGTATGTGTTATGTGTTGATGCTTGTGTTTATGTTTTAGCGAGTTGTAGCGCGCATCCGCCATCATGTTTCTGCTCGTCCTCGTCATCGTCATCCCTTCGCGATTGCATCTCCTGCAACCACCACCCGAACTGATGTGGCGGTCTTTCTAGAAGCCCACAAACGCAACGACTGCTTCACAGTTGGCAGCCTCCCAGGGGAACGCGGAACTCCCCTGGATGCGCGTGCAACCCCACTTCGCTGGGTCTCCCAGAAGCCCGCGAAAGTGGCGACAATTGCGCAGATAGCAGTCCCGCAGGGACCCGCGAGGTCTAGTCTGGGTCCGCGTACAGCCCCACCCCGCTAGGCTTCCCAAGGGCCCAAGCGACGGCTGCGCAGTTGGCAGCCCCTCCGGGGAACCGCGAGGTCTCGTCTCGGTCCGCGTGCAACCACACTGCACTGGGCCTCCCAGGAACCCACGAGGGTGGTGACGGTTGCGCAGTTGGCAGCCACCCCAGGGAGCCGCGAGGTCTCGTCTCAGTCCGCGTACCGCCCCACTCGAGTCGCTGTGCCTCCCAGGAGCCCACGAGAGTGGTGACAAGTGCGCAGCTGGCAGCCCCAGGGAGCCGCGAGGTCTCGTCTCAGTCCGCGTAGCGCCCCACTCCGCCGCGCCTCCCGATCGGAGAACACTCCGCTGTGCCCCCCAATCGCCCACGAGAGTGGCGACAGCTGCGCGGGCGGCAGCCCCCCCCCCAAGGGGGCGAGCCGCGAGGTCTTGCCGAGGTGCGCGTCGGACAGCACTCCGC